TACAGTATATGCAAAAACAGACAAGTCGCGCATTCAAACTGACGGAATTTGGTAATTCCGCCTAAATCATTGCGAATTTTGGCTACACACACTGATTACTAATGAGTATAAAATACTGGATTTTAGATTTTCAATTTAACGAGCATTAGATAGTTAACTCAATTTTCTCACAAGTGATTGAAAATGCATTTCGATGTAATCGAAAGAAGATAATTAGGATACAAATGATGATATTAATAAAGGGCTTCATTAGTGTATTTTATTTGTTTTGTTTGCTGTTTTCCTTTTTGTTGTTTTTTTTTTATAAATAGGTCCGAAAAATGACTCCACCCCACCTGAATTCTACGTTTATGCAAGAAGGAAGCTTGGAGAGACGACTTCTGTGCCAGACCCTGTCAAAGGCTTTGGCGATATCAAGGCTATTAGCCAACGATTCGTCCCGCTTGGCGATAGCCTCACTCCAGATGTGAGTCATGTACGCTAGAAGATCACCCGTTGATCGTTGCGGTCTAAAACCATATTGTCTATCATTTACCAACCATATTAATCAGTAAGTGATCCTCTAGGTAGTGGGTCAGTTAGTTGTTAAGAACTATTTATAGGACGAAATTCTTGAGGTGTTGCTTGAGGTTAAATTGTCGCAACAAATTAAAAAGTTTTAACCTCGGGGTAGGTGTGAATACATTTCTATTTCAATCTAGTGTATGTACAAAATTCAATCAACGAAACAAATGCACATCGGTTCGAATACATTTATCTAAACGCAAATCTAACATACTCGCACGTTAACAACAATGCAGTTAAGTAATCAAACGCAACACCTATCTGCCACATTATACATATTACCAAAATGATCTGATAAATCGTAACAATTGATTAATTACGACGGAAAATAATTATATTGCACGCCTTGAACTTTCGGAGATCTCGAATGGAATCGTTCGCGCACGCTGGAGTTATCTTTTCTTTACTACACATCCGCATGTTCGATGCGCTTGTGATAAATTGGAAAAGATAAACGCCGAAAAATCGATAGATAATAATTTATCGATGTTGTCGAATTAATGTTCGGATTGATTTTTGAATGCGGTATTGATTATGACTTATTGTGTAACATGGCATAATTAATTAGGGAATTGCCAAAATAAATTGATGATTCCTTTCCACCACGAAGGTTTTTAATACCGTGTATCGAAACTTTATCTTGTCTGTTTGTTACACTTGCATACTTAACCGCTGGATAGATATTGATAATTTTTAGTGTGGAGATAATTTCAATAATACCTACTATACGAAATAAAAATTGCTTATTCTGAATTCTTTCTTAGAAAATGTAACTTGGCAGTAAAGACATGGTAACTGTAGGGCGTATATGTAATTAGTCAAGTTTATCAGTATTATTATTAGTACTTTATTTAAGTATAAAAATACAAGCCAAAGTATCAGTTAAGAATTCCCGTTTGATTTATGTGAACACACCCACATAACTTTGATAAAGTTCAAAAACATGGACCATTTTAATTAAAGCCGAACTTCCGAAAGAGTTCAAGGGTCACTTGCACCAACATTTTAAAATAAAATTAAGGCTTAAGTAATCCTGTTTTGACAATGAGAAGCTCGACGGCGCAGGTGGTTAGCGGGTTCGGCTGCGATCGTTGAAGATAAGCAATTTTTGCAGTGGTCGGTCATTGGATGGGTCATCAAAAAACTTCTATCTCGAGTTCCTCCGTGCTTCGGAAGGCACGTAGGCACGGTAAGCCATTGATGCCGGCTGCATCTGCAGTCGTTAGGACCCGCCAATCCGCTCTGGGCCCGCGTGGTGGGTAATGGCCCAAACTCCCTATTTCATCCATAGGGAAGGCTTGTACCCCAGCAGTGGGGATATTAATAGGCTGAAGCTAAAGTGATGATGATGATGAATCCTGTTTTACACATCATTCCATCTTTGCAATTGCTTAATTAAGTCAAATAGAGATAAATGAAAATGTTTAAACGTGACAAGCTCTTTAATTTGAGGTAAGAAATTTGATGAAATTGTTCTTAAAAGTACGAAAAAATTCGTCTTGAAGCGTTCTCTGATAAAGTAAGATACCTATCAGAGAAATCTTTCTATTTAAGCGAACGCCAACTTTTGAGTTAAAAAATAATGCTGTTGAATGTAAATTTAATGTAATTTAGCAATATTCAATGAAATTACATATCAAAAGCTTTATCTTTGTCATACATTTGAGTTTTGGAACGGAATAAACAATAATTTTTAAGACAATTTTATTTTAATTATAGTCATCGTTTGCTCCAACAAAAAGATGGCAACAAGTATTCAAGTTAACAAGCACGGATTAAATTTAGTAGGTAGATACCGCACGAATCGGTACTCCTCTGTCGTCTATTGCAACAAAAATAAATTGCTCTCACGCAAAAACATAATTAAGTTATGTGTTTTCTAATTAAGTTTGATGCCGCTAAATGGTCCGGCTGTCGGCTCCAGATCATTTCAGATCGATTACATTACTTAGAACGTGGTATTGACCCTCTTGTTACAGCCGACTTGGTTATTACCAGTCCATTGATCTCTTATTGAACTTTGCAGTAAATCCGAACTGAATTGTTTTGGTCTGGATGGCACGTCTTCGATGATTCATTCGAAATGTAACGATTTTAAAAAACCGGACTTCCGTACCTCTAGCACGAACCCATATCGAACTCGTATCGTTTGCGAGTCCGCAATGTCATTGTCAAATGTGTACTGATTTTTAGTTCTCGTTACGTACTTTGTGCCGCTGCTGTTCAAGTTTCCATACAAAATTTGACATTGACATTTCGGTTTGCAAACTATTCGAATTCGATAATGGTTCGTGCTAAGGGTTCCGTACAAATTTGTAGGTACGCAAACGCAGCATAAACGGCCGTAGCTTTTTATACGTTAACTGAGAAGTTTGTTTTTATTCACAGTTTCAAGGGACTGTAGACCTGAGTATATGGTTTTAATTTCAACTCGATATCTCCACGCGTCACCGAAATAAAGGTTCTTGACAGACAGACAGAAAAAAGAAAAACAACCGGCCGTAACCTTTTTTTATATTAACCTAGAAGTTTGATATTTTCACAACTTCAAATGGTCTTTTTAAAACTGAATACCTTTATGGTTTAAATTTCAACTGGATACCTCCACGCATTCCCGAGATAAAGGTTCTCGACTCGACAGACAGAGACAGATAAACAAAGTGATTCTTTTGGGGTTCCGTTCTTTCTATTAGAGGTACGTTAAAAATTACCCCAAAATGATAGAGAACTTAGTACAAAATTTTACTCAAAAGCATTCATTAACATCAACACAACAAAAACTGGAAACGCAATCATCATAAGCTCCATTTGTATGGGTCAGTCACTGGATGGGTGACCGAAAAGTAACCGCATCCGTCGACTCCAAATCCTGCGCGCTTTCAACTAATATTATGTTTGTAAAACGCCATCTATCACTGCTCTAGCGAACCAAAAAACACACGTTGTTTAGTAGCAGAAGTGAAAGTTAAGCAGTCCGCTATTGAAGGTTCAGTTGTTGCTGTTTTCTCATTGGTGGCGCTGTTGTACGTAGTACTTATAATTAAAACTTGATATATCCATGGATAAATAAATAAATATTTCTAACATACACCAATAGTCTAGCCCCAAAGTAATAAAAGCATTGAAAGACTTATGCATACGGTATCGGATAGATATATAAATACATAAATATTTCCAACACTCACACCAATTGGCCTAGCCCCAAAGTAAGCACTTTAAAGGCTTGGGTTATGGGATACTAGGGTAACGGATAGCATACTGTACATATATAAGTATATTTTTATATTATATAATATTTTTATAGAAACATCCATGACTGGAGTACAAATGCTCGTATTCGTTACACAAGCATCTGCCCCCAGCGGAATTTGAACTCGGCAACCTCTGAGTTCGAGAGAGGAGATACCTTGAAACCCGGCCCCGGTACAAACCACTAAGGAGATCAACAAACCGATATGCCAAAAGGTAGGGCATAGCGGATTCCTTTTAACTAGGTTCCAAAAACGACCTCCGTGACTGATTTTCCATTCGGTTTGGAGCGCCTGTCTCGGGAAGTAACTTCATCTTCATCTTACAGAAGACCACAGTAAAATCATCATTATCAGCCAATTAATGTCCTCACTGCTGGGGCACAGGCCTTCCCTATGGATGGATTAGGGAGATTGGGCCATGACCCACCACGCGAGCCCAGTGCGGGTTGGTGGGTGCTAACGACTGCAGATGCAGCCGGGTCCAACGGCTTCACGTGCCTTCCGAAGCAGGGAGGGCTCGAGATAGTAAATTTTTGGTCACCTATCCAATGACCGACCACTGCGAAAGTTGCTCAACTTCAACGACTGCAGCCGAACGCTCTTACCACTGGCGCCATCGAGCTCCTCTTAACAGTTTTAACTGCACCTTTTAGTGGTGTCGTGTTTCTGTCGATGAGTAAGGTTACAGAGCTCCACGTGATAGGGGACTGGGTCAACGTAAACAACGACTTATATTTTTGGTATCGCAAGTGTCTTTGGTTGTATATGGTGGCCGCTTACCATCACGCAGTCCAGTTCGTTTGCTAACGTTTTATCATAAAAAAAATTGTTCATGTTAAGAAAATTTTACTAGAAAAAATTCTAAGCGGACCAAGCAGCACACGGGATTCGAACCCGCACCCTTCGCTATCCGGGCGAATGCACTGACCATTATGCTACCTCGGACCTAATGGCCGATTCGAATTTTCTCTAGTGTTTCTTAAGCTTCAAGGCGATCTCTTCGAGTTGTAGGTAACCCACAATGTCAAATATTTACCGTTACAAGTTTTTTCTAGTAAAATTTTCTTTAGATTTAAACATGTAGATCTAGCAGTTACTTAATTGCTGAAAGAAAATAAAATAATAGTTCATGTTGTCAAAAGCTGTCATTAAAAATGTATTATCTTTCAAAAATAGTTCAGTTACCTTCGTTCTCTTTTCTTCCTTTTGGTCGTGCTGGTCCCTTTAATGGTCCTGTAGAGAGTCATCATCTTGCTTGCCATTGTTGCTAACTTCACTACACTACACACTCACTTGCACTTATTTGCTCCCTCAATTTATTGACACCAATCACTTCACACTCATCCAAACCTCTTGACAGTCACACTATTGATCTGAAAGAAAAAAAACATTTCTGTAAAAAAGTTTAAAGTCTAAGCGATTACTTATTCGAAGAGTTTTTTTGTACGTGAAACGCATAATATGCAAGTCACTTCAGGTTAACTACAATATTCACTACTGTAAGGCGCCACTATAACCTAAGAGACATCGATTTAAATAATTATTATTGACCTATGACGAAAACTAAAATATTTGTTTCTTAGGTTTTCACGCACACAATCGTCATCTTAGTTTTCATAAAACAAGTTTCAACGGTATAGATGCACTGATTTATTTATTAATTGACGTTTCGCATCCTTTTCAGGATGCGTCGTCTGAGTGTTCGGATATTTCAAAGTAAGAATTTTAAAACTTTATTGTATATGCATGAATTTGTTAACTAATTTAATTAATAAAGTACTTTATTTAATCCTTTTTTTTAATATTTGAGTTTATTTATTTATTTGACCCTAACTACCGTAAACTACCACTAGTTCCAAAAATTATAATTCAGACGACATGCATCCTGAAAAGGATACGAAACGTCAATAAATAAACAAATCAGTGCATCTATACCGTTGAAACTTGTTTTATGAAAACTAAGATGACGTATAGTGGGCCGATTCGGGCAGGCATGATTCCCTAAAATTTAGATAAATTCAATTTGAAAACAGTATTCTTACTTAGCCTTGTTATCATTTATACAAAATGATTAAGAAAGACTGTTGTCAAGTTTAGAAAATTATTCGGAATCAAACCCAGTTTAACGGTAAAATCATTTTTAAATTTCATTATTACCATTTCCCATAAATATTTACGTCTCTAGCTATAGCAAATTCCCTAAAAAAGTTCAAAGAGTAGTTTTTGTATCTCAAAAATGATATTTTAATAGAAAATCGCATCCCACTCAATTCCCACGTAAATAGGAAAACTCCTATGTTGGTAACATAGCTGGATATACTCTAAAGAATTTGAAGGAACTTAAATTATTTTTATAATGTACTGAAAACTCAAAGAAAACTTAGTACCTACATTGCGATCCCAACTACTGGATTTTAGTGTACGGTTTCCTATTAAAAGCTGTACGCTGCGTCTGAGTTCAGCGTAAATGTTCCGATCGACGTCTGTATGGGGCCATTCGTTCATTTGGGGGGAGGGGGGTTGACCATGTCTTGTTTTTTCTTACAAGAGGGTACCACCTTCTCAAGATCCCTCTTGATAATACTTATGTAAAATCACACAAAAGCGCAAAGTTAAAATTATACTTTGAAAAAGCGTACCAGAGCGCAACCGCACGAGTGCCAAGGCTCGCTCGGATGCGTATAGGTAAACGATTTCCATTTCCATGTCAAAGGACCCGCACCACCCGCTACAATGGTAACGGGTAAAGATGAATGATTAAAATTGTTACTTTGAAAAACAAACCAAACGTGTCTTCATTTTTTCCTTTAGATTCTTACGTAATAAATAATAAACAGGGGGTCGGCATATTCTTAAATTTTCTTTTAATAGGAGGGAGCAGGTCAGAAACTAGCGAAAATAGTCTTACGTAATTAATGACGACATATTATAGAGACCTTGTGGTCTAAGAGTCCTGTTGTCAGGACCCTTAGCACGAACAATATCTAATTCATATCGTTTGCGAGACCGAAATGTCATTGTAAAATTTTGTATGGAAACTTGAACAGCAGCGCCGCAAAGTACGTAACGAGAACTAAAAATCAGTAAACATTTGACAATGACATTTCGGACTAACTACTATTCGAATTCGATAATGGTTCGTGCTAAGGGTACTGTCAGCATCGTGACGCGGCGTACGGCGCGTGGCACTGTTTTGCGTGGCAATTGCACCCCAATTTTGTTTACATTAATAAAAATTAAGTACATCCACATACTTTGCATTAATTCTTTATTTATTTATCAATGAAATGAGTCTTTTTCCTAGTGCGATAGAGTTTAGTGTTATCATGGTGAAACTGCTGATCGTAGTTTACGCTTTTTAATTGTTGTTTAATGCATTCAGCCATATACATAACGACTTTATTATTTACATACAGATAGAATACAGATTAAACGTTAATGTAACAGTAACTTTGGTTTAGTAGTTTTGTAGCAGTTAACTTGATAATTCGCTGCCGTTTTATAACTTTTTTTAATTGGTATTTTGATAACTTGATTAATAAGTTAATCTCATAGATACCGAAACCATATACCAAACTAAAAACACAATTTATCTTTCGTTTGATGCTTTTGTTCAATGAAAAATGAAATTTTAATTATTTACTAGCTGACCCAACGAACTTCGTACCGCCATAAAAATAGGGGCAGGTGGTAGAAGAGTGAAAATTTAGGGTTGTATGTATTTTTAATACCACATAATAAAAAAAAATATTGTCCAAAAAAAAGTTTTTAGGGTTGTATAACGTAGTGTTCCATCAATTTCCTGGGATAACATTCCTCCTAACCCATATGAGAACACTACGTTACAATACCCAACATTTTGAATTTTGGTGCCAAGGTGTATTGTAGGTTTCAGAACACTACGTAACAGGTGGACAACCCTTATCACTTAAGGATATGAAATCTAGATAGTAGCCGATTCTCAGACCCATGGAATATGCATACAAAATTTCATAAAAATCGGTCAAGCCGTTTCGGAGGAGTATGGTAACTAACATTGTGACACGAGAATTTTATATATTAGATTTATTGACCAATAACATTGTACGTTACATTTGTTAAGTCATGGGAAATTAAATAAGTCTTACTACTATGACTGGTATACAATTCAATGTCAATCTCAAGAATCAATGTGTATTCTGGTTTATACAATTGAAACAACTGATAATATTAAAAGGGAAAACTATATGTGTATAACTAATTATTTAGTATTGTTGTGACACACCAGTCACCACACAGGTTATCCACATTTTTTTTATAGCCAGGTAGGCAAATTACTCTACCCCACCTGATGTTAAGTGTTGATAAAGTCCAAACGCGAAGATAGCTGGTACAGCAGTTATAAACTGTCACTACAACCATCCTCACCTTGGCGGTCTGTAAAAATGCTTCTTCACGCCTCTCTTAAAGGACCCCCGATTGTAGGAAGGAAGGAACACGTGCGCGGGCAACGAATTCCAATCGAAAATTTTATGAAAATTTATTTCATTGATATCAGCGTGTGTATGCAATGTACATGTACAAAGAGATTGTATAGAGAAGTATTCTGTGTGTATTTTGTTCACTATCGTAATAGTGATGAAATATCACTATACACATTTTTTGTTGTAATAACATATTATTCAAGTACCTATTTCTGCCGAGCGCAAAAAAAAAATACACACGTACTTACAGTGTTCTGATTTACAACTATTTCGAGACTGCAACTAATTAATTTCATTCCACTACTGTGTAAAGTTTATCTATCAGTTACGTAAATTTAATAAACCAGCCGCTTGTTAGCTAAATGCAAATTAATACGATTCATGTCCAGATGCAACTTGAGAAATATAATGTATGTTACTGGTACAAAATAGTAGCACAACAGGTTATGCAAAACTGTCAAATATACTCCTTAAAGTGTCTAGGGATCACTCAACGGACGAACGTAATTGCTTTGGGTTTCCTGCCCGAATTGTAGCGACTGTCTGGGACAGTAACAACCACCTTACAAAAAATTACAGTAAAATAACACTAACATTTTTTTTATGCAAAATAGGCAATCCGTTTGACCACAATCTCACCTGATAGAAAGCGATGATGAGGTCTAGGATGGTACACGCCTGCCTAGAAGATGTCCAGATTATATTGGTCCGGGAAAACAGACCTCGGCAAGGAGTTCCACTCCCTAGCCGTTCGCATAATGAAGGCCGAAGCAAATCGCTTCGTGCGAATAGGAGGAACTTCTACAACATAAGGGTGGAAGCCCTCGCCGCGCCTGGTCGTCCGGTGGTGGAAAGGGGAAGCGGAGATCAAATTATGTAATACTTCCGCACACTCTCCGAAATGTAACCGATAAAACATCGAGAGGCAAGCTACACGTCTTCGGTGGTCAAGGCTTTGGAGATGAGGCTCAACGAGAGCGTCATTGCCTACGAGTCTCTTCGCACGGTGTTCCACAACTTTTGGTGAAGTTGTTCACCAAAAGTTGGTGCAGGGCTTCGCGGAGTAGGGAATGGTGCGCATGATATTTTTTGTATCGCAAGCATCAATAGGTTATGCTTGCCGCTTAAATGACCTCCGTGGTTTGTACGCCGGGTTTCATGGCGTAGCCGAATCGAGAGGTCCCGGGTTCGAATCCTGGTGTGGGCAGATGTTTGTGTGATGAACACGAGCATTTGTACTCCAGTCATGGATGTTATATATGTAAAGTATATGTATTCTATCCGTTACCCTAGTATCCTATAACACAAGCCTTTCAGTGCTTACTTTGGGGCTAGGCTAATTGGTGTAAGTGTTGGAAATATTTATTTATTAGCATCAGGCGAGCTATACGCTTGTTTGCCACCCAAAAAAAATATTATACCCGTCTGATAGTAAAAGGTCACCATAGAATATAGAAGTTAGGATTTGAATTTATCTGTATTAGTATATTTGCAGCCTACCTTCAACTCTTTCCTAACACAAACAAATTGATAGCTCAACTTCACATTTTAACATTGAAAATGTTTTTTCGTTCTCTCCAGTAGGCCCCCATTTTCGCTGAAAGTGCGACTCGCTCGTGATACCCCAAAGTTTAGGGCCACGAGGACGTAGAAGGGCTCAGAAGACGTGTACTTTGAAGGGCTTTAAGAAGATGTAAAAAATATGTTTAAAAGTTAGTTTTGAAAAAAAAATATAGGTTAATTATAAATAAAAAATTAATAGGTTTTTTATGTTTATATTTTTTTTATTAAGCTATAATAATATAATAGGTATAATATAAATAGGTAGATTTATTTTCAATGAACACGAGATCTGTGATTTTTTTGTGTCAAATATTTGATAGACTACCGATATTGACCAGTAGGTGTGT